GGGGGGGGTTTAGTTGTGCAGTGTACTTCCTTTATTTTTTCTGTGAGGTGCTTTATCGCTTTTTAATCCAATGCTCCGTCGCACAAATCAATGTCACTGTCTCATTGAATGGGTTTCTGTCCTGTGAGTGGCCAGTGTGTCCACTCCACTGCACAATGAATAATAAGCGTTTTTAAGAACAAGTGCAACCAAATAATAATTTCCTTTTTGTGTATTTTTTTTGGAGCTTTCTGCTCATTTGGATTCAGATAAATACTTAAAATGATAGATTGATTGAGCAGTTAGACAATTGAAATACATGTAAGGGAAATGCTGATAACTGATGATATTTAAGTACTTTCTCGAGGAGATATGCCCATTTTTGTATTAGTCTCAACCGTAAAAATATTATAATTTGCTGTTTTTCTTTCATTCATGTCATCATAATATCTGTAATGCATAATACATGTTATCTTTAGTGGCAGCAGTGTCAAGGATTAATAAAAGTGTCTTAATCTGATCTTTTGTCTACGTGGTTTTCCTTCCAACCAGATGTAAACACAACATTGTAATATATGATCACCTTCTAACACGGAAATGGTGGCAGTAACAGTGGCCTATTTACAATCAGATATCTTGCTTTTCAGCAGGTACATTTTCCAATATGCTCATCAGGTATTTGCTAGCCCTGTCTTTTTCGCTGAGCTGGTATTGTTCAGACGTTTTATCGAAGCAGTTGCACACAAAGTCATTGTCGTTTCATACAATGCGGATATAAGTATTGATTGTAGCGGCTTTAAAGCTTTATCTCTAAGCCTCTGTGTCTAACAACAGCTCTCCTCTGTTCCTCAGGACCTGGAGATCGTCTACTCGTATCTCCACGGGATGGAGGCCTTGTCCAACCTGCGGGAGCACCAGCTGAGGTTAGTGTCTGCACACATTACCGGAACCTAATAACCATAATTGAGAGCTTGATATTCCAATCACATTCATTTCAAATGCAAATTAAATCACTGACAACTCCTCAGTGTCTGCTCCATAACGGTTGTAGCCAGGGGTGCAGCATTAGCAGGGAGCCGCCAGCCAAGAGCTGCTGAACGTCGTCTGCTTTTCTAATCCAGCAGCCACTCGTTGGCTGGAAAAATTTCAATCTCTAAAAAGCAATTATGCTGCTAAAAAGACATACAATATAAAAAACCAGCTGTTACTGTGACTAGCACACATAAAAGTATATTTTCATGATCGCTAAAAACATATTTAAAGGGGACCTATCATGCAAAATGCACTTTTTGATGTCTTTTATACATAAATATGTCCCCGGTGTGTCGGGAACTCACGCAGCGTCAGAAAATAAAACCCTCTCATT